TTGTGGATAGTGAGGAACATCTGGAAATAGCTTACATAATTATAAACAAAAACTATGTTTTCAGATAACTAGTAAAAATCAAAAGCAAATGAAATACATAGTATTTGGTGTAATAGACAAACCACACAAAGAATTGGTCCAAGAAACTTGAAAATGCAGTTGCTTCATTGGCTAATGTCCTAATGGGATATAGTGTAAGGCCAAATAGGGGGAAAAAACGTCAAGAAAATCTTAAATTGCTTTCAGGAATCCTGTCCTATACTTAGCTTTTTGTGCACATGTGTAGTTTTGAAGCCCAAGGACAAGCCCAGTGGCAATGAACACCCTTAGCGCCCATACTGTGCCCTTCAAATGCCATTCATTTCCCACTAAAAACATTAAGAATCTTAGAAGAACGTACCGATTCCAGATCTGGGCCAAGAAACGTGCAAGTGGATCCTACACTATCTAGTCATACTAGAAAGCAAGGATTCTATCAAAAACTACTCAGACCGTGGGACACCTGGCTAGCTCTGTCAATACAGCATGCATCTCTTGATCCCACGTTCATGAGTTCTAGCCCCACATTGGGTGCAGAGGTCACTTTCAAAAAAAAATGTTTGGATCTTACCGAAAGGAGTACAGGGCCAAATTGAAGAGGCTGACTGGACAGAGAAGGGATAATTTGAGTACCAATGAGAATAATAATTTCAATGGATTAAAATTCATCAAATATGTTGAAGTTCATGAATTCATAACAATACCAACATCACAAAAGAAGTGAAGTGTTCTCTTTGGGGTATGCTAGGAAATGATGTCATCAGTCTGAACATGGACAAAAAAGAATCAAGCATTCCTTTTGTCTTACTAACTACACCTTATGGAAATGAAAGTATGATTCAGGGGAACTTTCTTTTTAAAGGATTATGCCATGCAATAAATGAAGAAAGAATGATAGAATTATAATATTATATTTTGTGACCGTTAATGAAACAAAGTTACTCTAGGCTATCATTACTGTCTGCTACATTACAGAAAGAGACAGAAGAATATATAAGGTGCCTTCTGATGGATGTTTACAACTGCACCTATGAAATATTGCCACCCAAATAACCAGGCAAGCCTTAATCTGATCAAGCCTCTCCTTAAATTTAAACTTATACAAAACACTGAAACTACAAGAACATGTCATATGACATCTTGAGGATTTCATTAGCAAAAAGTACACTGTCCAATTCTCTTGGAAAAAGGACCAACCATTTCTTAACCACAAACATTTTACAAAAAGAAACAGGAAGGTGAAAACTTATTTATCAAATTAAATTTAAGAGATATGAAAGAATCAAAATTTATTAACCGTATTTGGAGCTGATTCCAATTTTAAATTCTAGGAGACGATGTGGGAATTGGAATACACCTGGTAATTTTTTAAAAATTCTAATTGTTTTTTGAACTCTGATTATGGTCTATTTTAATGACCTTTATCTTCCATACATACATATGTAAGTAATTACTGATAAAGTGATAAGATTTTTAGTATTCTAGTAATTTAATACTTTTTAGTATTCTAAAGTTTAAAGTGTATGTATGTATGTATGTATTTAATCTCTACACTGAGCATGAGGCTCAAACTCACAGCCCTGAGATCAAGAGTCCCATGCTCTTCCCACTGAGCCACATATGCACCCCCACTCTGATTTTTGAAATGAGGAGATTGATGTGGCTCAGAAATGCTGAGAAAGTTGCCCAAGGTCACTGCGCTAATGGGCTTTGGGCAGAGAAGGGATCCAATGCACAGTATGTCTGACCCTACACTCATGCATAACCCTTACACGCTCTGGTCTCTTCTTGGTTCCTTCTCAGGTCCTTGATTCTACATTTCTCTTTACATTGGATCAGAAATAGATCATGGGAGGCCAAGGGAGGTACTTCACTCTCTGTCCAGAAATGTGAACTGGTAGCAACCCTGGAATTAAGGAAGGCAACCAAAGGGCTTCACGCACATTTGTTTTCTATAGAATAGCTCATTCTCTCCCCATGGCATCCCTTCCGTACCTCCTCTGTTACACTGTCGATCACACCATTTCTCTCTTACATGTTGGAAAGGACACAGCCAGCTGAATTCTAGACTTCCTGTGCCATTTGGGACCTGGGTATCCTGGGGAATTTGATAAAACCACACGCACACCATCTGGGATTCAGATTTTCTTTCAGGAAGAAGAGGGATTTGGACAAACTTCTCTCTAAATTGCCTTCCAGGTCTAAAGACCTGCCTTGAGGACACTAGTTTCTCACTAAGGGAAATAGATGGGGTGTCAGGCAGCACTCACTCTGTCATGACAGCAACTGATGGA